AAGATTCATCATCAGGTTGTTTACTTGAGCTTGCTCTGTTTTCCTATTGTGGGCAATCACTGTTATGAATTTTCCACACAGAACTGCTTTCATTTTGTCTCATAGGTTCCTGTATGTTATGTTGGCATTATCATTTATTTTTAAAAACTAACTAATTTCTTCTTTAATTTCCTCTGTGACCCAATGATTGTTCAGGAGAGTGTTGTTCAATTTCCATGTGTGTGTGAAGTTCCTACAGTTTCTTATGCTATTGATCTCCAGCTTAATTGCACTATGGTCTGATAATACACATGGGATAATTTCGATTGCTTTACATTTGTTTAAACCTGTTCTATGAGCTACTATGTAGATCTATTTTGGAGAATGACTCATGTGCAGCTAAAGAGAATGTATATTCTGATTTTGTGGGGTGGAACATTCTGAAGACATCTATTAAGTCCATTTGTTCAAAAGCTTGGTTCAGTTCTAGTATTTCATTGTTGACTGTTTGTCTAGATGATCTTTCTATTTTTGATAGTGGGGCATTTAGATACCCCACTATAATTGTATTGGTGCTTATTTGGTTTTTCATGTCCCTTAATATTTATTGTGTAGAGTTGGGGGCATTAATATTTGGTGCATATATGTTTATGGTTATAATCTCTTCCTCTTGGATTGTTTACAAGGATGTAGTGGTCTTCTTTGTCTCTCTTAATCAGTTTTGGTTTGAAATTTACTTTGTCTGCAAATAAGATAGCTACCCTTGCTTTTTTCTGGGCTCCTGTCACATGGAGAACTATTTTCCAACCTTTCACTTTCAGTCTATGAGTTTCTTTTTGAACTAGGTCTGTTTCTTGTATACAACATATTGTTGGATTTTTCTTCTTAATCCAGTCTATTACTTTTGGTGAATTGAGGCCATTGACATTGATGGTTATAACTGATATGCATTGACTTATCATTATCATGTTATTGTCCTGTTGTTGGTTCTTTTAAAATTTTCTCCCTCTCTCTTTAGTTTTTTGCCTTGCCTGGTTGATTTGCTCTGTTGGGCCTCATGGTATTGTGACCTTCATTGTCTTTTTCTAGGATAGTGTTTAGAAGACCTTGTAGTGCTGGTTTGGTATTCATGAAGTTTCTCAGGTGTTCTTTGTCATGGAAATATCTT